CCCCCTCCCCCCAGCTTTATAATTTATTGAAGTGGAAGGAATGTGAATCTCTGCAGACAAGAATTTTTGCTTTCAGATCTTCTGTTTTACTTGACACAGGCCCAGGGGTAGCTGTGTGAGAAACCATTTCACCAATATTAGTTTCAAGTGGGGAGTTATATCTAGGAACTGATTTTTCTTTTATCACTCACGAATACCTAGTGTGTCTTTATTCCCTTAAATGTGTAGCATCTAGTAAGAAATACCCCTGGCAGACAGGAAAGGATACTAGTGTGTCACAGAGAAGAAATGGATGCTTGTTTCCAAAGCAAAACCTTTCATATCTTGGAGAGCTATCCTTTTCTGTCAGGCATGGTTTCCTTTTCCACTTCCAGTGATGCTAGAGGGTCCAGAAATGGGTACTCTTGCATTATCAGAGATCTTCAAATAGAAAGTTTGCTAGTAAATAAAAAAAACACAAAAGTTGAGGTGTTCTTAATGTGCTCTTAGGCAAGGATAGCTAGCTCCTAAATGTGATGTTCAGGTTTTGCTGGGAGATCAGCTATATGTCTAAGGCAATAAAGTATCTTAAATGTTCTTTGGCAGGTATGTTCTTGCAAGTTTTTAAAAACTTCACTTTGCTGAGCATCCGGCCGCAATTGTTTAAGGATAAGTAAAAGAAACAGGGTATGTGACAAGTTATCTTTCTCCAAATATATAACCCAGGATTCATTTATAGCTTCTGTGGTCAAAAGGGAGAATAGGTAATCAGAGCACTCCAAGAGATAATTAGATTTCTTTGGAAGAAAGACTTACTGATACATGCAATTCTCCATACAAATTACAAATTATCGAGCTGCTTTTAGAAAACAGAATTACTGCATGAACTATGATCTGCTTCTTTCTCCAAATTTCACACAGACATGTGAAGATGTGAAAACAGGTAAAAGCCACCATCTTTCACTGTATCAAACTATTTTGTTAGAAGTATTGTTGAAGGCATGGATGTGGATTCTGAGTATTTCAGTTACTGTGCAAGCCTCTGGTATTTGGAGAGAAGCGTAGAGTATGCTTTAGCAGTAAATGTAATCAACTAATACAAGAACAGTACATTGTATTTAATAGAGGAAATCTTTATTTCTTGGACTGCTTGCTTTCTGTCTTTCAAATTATGTATCTTGGACAACTGAAAGATGCCAAGCAGAAGGTGCCTGTTTAAGATTCCGAAAGTTATCCTCTGACTGCCAGAAAAAGTCATGGTTCTCCATATACTTTTTTGATAGTGATAAATGGAAGAGTGGTATGTTCATAGAATCATAGAATAGTTTGGGTTGGAAGTGACCTTTAAAGGTCATCTAGTCCAACCCCGCTGCAATGAGCAGGGACATCTGAACTTGAATCAGTCTTGATGTGGCCTTATAGGGAAAAGTAAAGGCAGCTAGCCTAGTGTATGATTGAGAGGATGTAAGAGACACGGGATTTTCCAGCGTTGGAGAGCCAGATCCGTCTCAAAATCTACATGTAGAGGGTAAAGATCAGGTGAGAGAAGCAGCTTTTCCCTTCTGTATTTACTTCTGGAGTTAATTCTTCTATTTTGAATCTCAAAGGACTGAACAGGTATGGTATCTGCCTTCACTGTCCTGTAAGGAGTGATGGTCAAAGTGAGTTTAATGGCTCAACCTCTATTTTTGCCTTCTCACTGTGCTTCTTGGCTGAGACAAGGAGCATGACTTCATGAAATTCTCAGGGATACATGTGGCTCCTCTGCCATGAGAGAAATTGGTAATGGCATGTGGGCTGTACATAGGTCTCAGTGAATGCTGCTGTTTAAAGGTAGAGTGAACATGTGCGCATCAGAAGCATGAGAACAACATGATCTCATCCCCAAAATCGCCAAGTACAAAAAAAATAAGGAAAAATGTTTTTGTGATAGACATAAAACAGTTGGAGGTTTCAAATACAGATCTGTATTGTTTTGTGTACTTTAACAAACAGTGAAAATTATTTTAGTTTGCAACTGGCTTAAAGTTGTGGTGCTATGTCAGTGAGAAGCATTATACTACCTGTGTGAAAAAATGGAGTAGAAATTACTGTAACATATGGCTAATAGTGTAGAACTGTATATTGTATTACAAAACTGCAGGTATTTAATCATGCTCTTGAGGGAGAAGTATAGCACCTGTGCTGCTTTATACTTTGGGGCATAAAGGACTTTATTCCATACATTTACTAGCTTTATTGCTGTTGTGAGGGTAACAAGCATGTGACCAGTATATATATAATTCTCTGCACTTGATTTTTACTAAACTTTTTTTTTAACTTTTCAGGTTGTCCGTCAGATGATGTGGCTGATGGATCATATTTTTAAATACACAAACTTTGGCATTGTGTCTCTAATCCATGGAGACTTCTTTATAAGACAGGTAAATGGAAACACATAATAGTGCTTTGATTTATCCTTATATTTGGAACATTGTGGTGTTATGCAACTTACTCATTACCGCCTGGATGGTTTGCAGAATGAAGTAACTATACTGTAATGTGTGTATTGAGGTAGAGCTCTGTTCCGAAATGTTTTTTTTTCCAAGCCTATTTTTTTTTTTGCCTAGACATGAATGTTTATGGAACCCAATTATGATGGGAACCTTTTATGAGAGGTGTAAAAGCAAAGTATACGGGCAGTCCTTTTTGTCTCCCCACTTCTGACAGCCCATTGTTGGCGCCTCTCTTCTTTACTTAGTGACACTGAAGCTGTGCAATGAGTCTGATTAGGTCACTGTTCTGACTCTCAGAGTTTCAGATGAGGAAAGCAGGGCCATCCCTTTGATGGTGACATGGTAGTAGGTGAGTTTAAGGTGGTGATGGACCTGCAAAAATAGTAATTAATTGATTCTTGATGGTTAATTATTATTTGAGCATCAGGAAAGAATGTGTGTTGAGCCCAGCGTCTCAAATGTTAAGGAATGAAAGCCTCAGATTATTTCTTACAATATAGGGTTTTTTTGTTGTTTGGTAGCTGTTGATCAAACTGCACTCTAAAAGTAGAAACCTAGAAGTACAATGATAAGCATGAACCTGCTGCCAGTTGTATGAACTGCGACATCCAGCATACGTGTTTCTTTGCTCTCCTATTTTGATTTGTCTGGACTTAAAATGTATGGGCAGCCAGAGAGAATTAATGAATTTTCACTTTAGAGAGAAGGAGAAGCTAATTTACTCAGAATGAAATAAATAAATACTTAATCACAGGTATACACAGCTAAAGTGAGATTTCTCACTAAGACTGGAGGCATGGTTAGAAAACCTCAGGCAAAATTAGATAATAAAATAAAGGTCTCTAGAGATATACAACTGTGTACTGTGAGAGTATGGAAAGGAACAGGATTTGACACTTTGTAACATATAAATCTGTTTCAGTAGTTAAAATTCACAAGGTACATATGACTGTCGGCTTTTTAATTGTAATTTCTGAATGTGGTGGTGTAATTCCAGTTACAAAACCAAACCATTACTGAGCTGCAAAAACTAAGGGTTTTCCTCATTTTTGTAAAGTGGCTGAGATACGCAGCAGCACAAATGAAATGGTGCATCATGAATCTAAATATAAACCAATTGAAAACAAAATGTTTCTTGGCTGTTAATTGGCATTTGGGTGTAGCAAAAACACTTCAGGTGAGTCAGTAATGATCTTTTGCCTGACTGTAGAAAGGCCCTAGTAATATTTGGATGAGCAAATACTTAATTTTTTTCCCTGTAAAATAATATAATATGATCATGGTACAATACATCCTATTTGTTAAAAATGTAAGTTAGCCTCATTTTCATGAGCAGCACCAATGGCAGTTTTAGGAATGCTTCTGAGGTCTGCTAGAAGTTGACTAGTGTTTTCTCTTCTTCCATTGAAAAGTTTACTGGAAACTGAGACTGTCAGTAACTTGCCATATCGGTGATGCAAAGTGCATGCCATCCTAAAGAATTTGTGAGCAGTCTGGTGCTACCTATTTTCTTTCCTCTAAAGAAAAGGCAGCTGAGCCTGTTCCCTGGAATGGTGATCAACTAGCCAGGGTCTTCAAGAATTGGTTGTATTACGGAGCGGCTTCTACTGCTCTATGACCTTCTTTCTCTCCTTTCTGAACAGTATGTTAATTGTGTTTTATTTTCCAGGACTCCTCAGTATTCCACTAGTCATGGTTGCTTTTAAATACTCCTCTCTTTCCCATTAGTGCAGTAGATTTTTGTGTATCACAGCAGCATCTTAAACCTCACACTATTTGCTAAACAGCAATTTATCCACCGGTTGTATTCGTTAGGTTTCTTCAGGTTTTGGAGAGTTCTGGTATCTAATGTGTGAAAAGTTTTTTGTTCACTGCTGGTTTTTTTTTTTTAACTGCTGTGCTATCCCGGAGTCCTCTGGCCTGGTGGGAAAGGGCTGTTTTAACTGAGGAACTTTTAAGTTGCTCTTTAATTGCATTAATATGAGCAGGCAGAGCTTTTTCCTTCCCTTTCATGAGGTAAGCTGGCAGTAATTGCAATCGTGAGATTTCAAAATCTAGGAGAAACTTTTACAAAACTTGTCTTCAATAAAACATTGTTTCTTGTTGTCTTCCACTCAACCCCACTCTTTCACTC